GAGATTATATCGAAAAAAAAAACTGTAAAATAAATGCTATTTTTTCATTAGACTACGGGTGCATTGATGCATTATATGCAATTTCTTTCTTTCTTTCTTCTTTTTTCTTCCTTTCTTTCTTTCTTTCTTTCTTTCTTTCTTCTTTTTTTCTTTCTTTCTTTCTTTCAATCGTCATCTTTCCACTTTATGCTTTTTGAACTATCTTTCTCTTTCTTTCTTTTTTAATCGTCCCCTCACATATGCCCAGAATAGAGTCTTACTCTTTAACCCCTCTAGATTATTCTTGAGTATTGTGCGCGGTCAACATCATTGTAAAAAAAGATCTATCTATCTATCTATCTATCTATCTATCTATCTATCTTCTTTTTTCTTTCAATCGTTATCTCACCCACATATGTCCATAAACTATGACTCTTAGTTTTTAACCCCTCTACATAGAGTGGCTCTTGAGGATTGTGCGGGGTCAACAGCATTGTTCAAAAAAGATGATCTATCTATCTATCTATCTATCTATCTATCTATCTATCTATCTATCTATCTTTCGTTACCTCCCCTACATATGCCCATAAACTATGGCTCTTACTCTACAACCCCTCTACATAGAGTGGCACTTGAGCATTGTGCGCGGTCAACATCATTGTAAAAAAGATCTATCTATCTATCTATCTATCTATCTATCTATCTATCTATCTATCTATCTTCTTTCTTTCTTTCAATCGTTATCTCCCCCATATATGTCCATAAACTATGACTCTTACTCTTTAACCCCTCTACATAGAGTGGCTCTTGAGCATTGTGCGCGGTCAACATCATTGTAAAAAAAGATTTATCTATCTATCTATCTGTCTTCTTTCTTTCTTTCAATCGTTATCTCCCCCATATATGTCCATAAACTATGACTCTTACTCTTCACCCCCCTACATAGAGTGACTCTTGAGCATTGTGCGCGGTCAACATCATTGTAAAAAAAGATCTATCTATCTATCTATCTATCTATCTATCTGTCTTCTTTCTTTCTTTCAATCGTTATCTCCCCCATATATGTCCATAAACTTTGACTCTTACTCTTTAACCCCTCTACATAGAGTGGCTCTTGAGCATTGTGCGGGATCAACAGCATTGTAAAAAAAGATGATCTATCTATCTATCTATCTATCGTTATCTCCCCTACATATGCCCATAAACTATGACTCTTACTCTTCAACCCCTCTACATAGAGTGGCTCTTGAGCATTGTGCGCGGTCAACATCATTGTAAAAAAAGATCTATCTATCTATCTATCTATCTATCTATCTATCTATCTATCTATCTATCTGTCTTTCTTTCTTTCAATCGTTATCTCCCCCATATATGTCCATAAACTATGACTCTTACTCTTTAACCCCTCTACATAGAGTGGCTCTTGAGCATTGTGCGGGGTCAACAGCATTGTAAAAAAGGATGATCTATCTATCTATCTATCGTTATCTCCCCTACATATGCCCATAAACTATGACTCTTACTCTTCAACCCCTCTACATAGAGTGGCTCTTGAGCATTGTGCTCGGTCAACATCATTGTAAAAAAAGATCTATCTATCTATCTATCTATCTTCTTTCTTTCTTTCAATCGTTATCTCGCCCCCCATATATGTCCATAAACTATGACTCTTACTCTTTAACCCCTCTACATAGAGTGGCTCTTGAGCATTGTGCGAAATCAACAGCATTGTAAAATAAAAGATGATCTATCTATCAATCTATCTACCTATCTATCTATCTATCTCAATTCATTCATTACCTATCTATCTATCTATTTCAGTTTGTTCAAATCTATCTATCTATCTATCTATCTATCTATCTATCTATCTATCTATCTATCTACATCTTTCATTCTTTCTTTCTTTCCTTCAAGGCTAGATCCGTAAATCCTTAGCTTAGCATGGATCCGTTTGTTGAAATTTTCAAAACATTCTTTCAAAAAGCTAAGCAAAGTATAAAGAAACAGGAAAAAAATTCGTTGGAAACAAAGAAAAGATTGCTGAAATCCTCCTACATGGCAGTGAATGCTCGGCAATCTCCTCCCAAATGAAGAGAAAACGGGAGGCAACAGAAATGTGGTACTACAGAAGGATACTGAGAAATCCATGGGCGTAGCAACGAAGAAGTTTTAGGGAAAATGGAAACAAAAAAGAAACTTCTGTTCAGAAACATAAAGACAGAGATACCATTTGTTGGACACGTAATGAGGAAAGATGACTTGGAGAATTTTTACTCACAGGATATATCAAAGGCAAAAGGAAGAAGAGAAGTTAGCGGGCAACCTACCCGATCATCTAGTGTGGATGAATAAAGAAATGTGGGTAGAAGTGGGATAAAAAGACATAAGCTACTAAGTACTACAAAGAATAAGAAGTTGTGGAGAGCCATGATTCACATGTCCAGAAGGAAGACGGAACAAAGAAGAAGAAAAAGAATGTTCGATCTATGGGATTTATATTTACCACTGGATTATGTGGTAATACCAAGGGAGGAGATTATGTTGTCAAAAGACACTTCTGTGTGATATAAATGCTTTATTTCCATCATTTTTTCATTCATTCTTTCATTCAAGGTTTGGTTTGTTTTGTTCTACGTCATATCAATCTCAATGGCTCATTTAATTTAACCTTTTTTTTTCCTGGTAATATTTTTGTTTTGTCAAAAATCTATTTCTGTCAATATTTTTTTCCTCAAAAATGTATAGCTTGTAATGTTATTTTTTCAAAAACATTTAGCTGGCAATATTATTTTCCCCAAAAATGTATTGCTGCTAATAGTTTTTTCTTCTTCAAAAAACTATTGCTGGTAATATTTTATAATGCTTTTTACTTCAGTTTCAGGGTTAACTATTTGCCCATAGCTGGGACCCTAACAGGTGCTACCACCCTGGGTCAGGGTGGACCTGGGAACACCAGCAATTAAGAGGTGGTTTCACTCTCCTCAAAACCTCCTGATCAGAGGCCTTGCTGTTGGATGTAGTTTATCGTCTTACCCAGGACGTGGATGCAGTTTATCGTCATACACAGGACGCTTTCATTCAAGGCTGAATCAGTAAGTCTGTAGCATGTTATAGAGTCATTAATTGATTTTTGATCTGAATTTTACAATGTACAATGATGGCCTCTATGATTAACATTTGCGACTGAATCACTGTCTATAAAAGGCAGGATGTGTGTGTGTGTGTGTGTGTGTGTGTGTGTGTGTGTGTGTGTGTGTGTGTGTGTGTGTGTAACGAATGCACGGCCGCAATTTTCGAAGGCTTTGCACCAAAATTTACATGCACATGCTCCAAGTTAGAGGAAAGGCCAAGACTGACTTTGTATTTCCCAACTCCCATCGATAGAGGAAATAATTGTACTGGCCAGAGTGAGAGCCTATAGCTGGCTGCCACGAATAGGCAGGAAGATTCTATTGGCCAGCGTGAGAGCCAACAGCTGACTGACACGAATGTTAACTAGCATGCTAGCAATGCAAAAAAAAAAAAAATCGATAGCTGCATTCGTCACAAGTGGGAAAAATTTAAATCTGCATGGCACTTTACTCCAATTGGCTCATTCGCTTGCTTATACTCAACGTTGATTCTGATTCCGTAGTACTGGGTGGGTGTGAAAAAGTATTTGTTGTTAACATTCTTTTTTCATTCGGTTTTTCCAGTTACGAGTCCTTTTTTAAAGCTGATCGTTTTGTGTTCATTTTGTTTAGTTCTTTTTCCGTAACAGATTTAATGTTTAGTATAGAGCTTCGAAAAAAAATCGCAGTGTGAGATCGGAAAGAAGTAAGGCATGTAGCAACATCAGCACGGCAAAGGGCACTCCTTTAAAGGCAAGGAAGGGCAAAAATATTTTAAGTCAAGTGACAGCGATTGCTGTATGAGTAGTAAGATTTTTTAATCAAGCACGGGCAACGCCGGGCCATGCTGCTAGTTAAGTATTAAATCAAGGAAGGAGATTGTTATATTGGAATAAAGTGTGGCTGCTGACACAGTAGTTTGAACATAGATCGCCAGAGAGCAAACTCAGGCGATCCCATTTGAAATAATCAGATCACGTGATAGTAAAGGAAATGTATATATGGGAGACACAGTGGATTAATGGATAGCGGCTCGGATTGATGAATTCCAGTCACTTAACTTGTTAATACGTTTGGGAAAGGTACGAATCCTCTTCTTCTTCTCCTCCAGCTAGGGATAAATAGCAGGACAGACCGGGTTCTATAGCATTGGATAACAACTGGTCTACCGCAGAAAGAAATAGCAACCTACTGTGGGAAAAATCTGCCTCGTCAGTCATATATCGAAAGATACATGATCGCCTAAGCGTGCATCACGCACGGCATACAACTGACGTCTAACTGATCACTATTTCTATCCTATCCTCTATTACTACACGGATCACCATTTCTAGTCTATCCTCTATTACTATACGGATCACTATTTCTAGTCTATCCTCTATTACTATACGGATCACCATTTCTAGTCTATCCTCTATTACTATACGGATCACCATTTCTAGTCTATCCTCTATTACTATACGGATCACCATTTCTAGTCTATCCTCTATTACTATACGAATCTTCATTTCTAGTCTATCCTCTATTACTATACGGATCACCATTTCTATCCTATCCTCTATTACTATACAGATCGCTATTCTGTATACTATTTCTCTATAGTGATCACTACACGGATCACTATTCGGTGGTTACTGTTCGAGCGAGTATTATCGAGCAAGTACTATTAGTGCTAGTGGTATTCGAAGGCGTCTGATACCAGTATTGTTCAACGGTGTTACTATAGTTGTATCTGCGATTACAAAGTCTCTACTACAACGAGCATTACGAAAGTGGCATCGAGTGTTCGTTGACATTGCAAATGAGATTATGTTGAAAAAAGTATTTGTTGCCTAATGTAAATGCTTTATTTACATTATGAGGCTACTGACTTATTGATGCACTGAACGTATATACTTTTTCTTTCTTTCTTTCTTTCTTTCTTTCTTTCTTTCTTTCTTACCAATATGAAGCATTAGGTCCATAGCATACCATATAGATATTAGCTGAATTTTAATCTGAAATTCACAATGTATTATGTTTGATCCGTGGGATTAATATTTATCACTGAATTGAGTGCATTAACAAAGAAGGGGATTAAGTGATAAAAGGTACAACCAACAGATTATTTTTTTACAAATGAGTATGTGTATATAAGTGTTTATATGTATTCGATCGTATGCACGTGTATAAAACCAATAAATTTGTGCGGAAAATGGTTGAAAGTTTAGTGGGCAACCAGGAACCTCCTCTCGCCACTATAAAACAGAGATAAATGGCGTGGTTTGGACACGTTACAAGTCACGACAGCCTGTGAAAGACCATCATGCAAGTCACCGTTGAAGATGAACGTAGGAGAGGACGCCAACACAAAAACTGGTTGGACAATGTCAAACAATGGACAAATATGTCTATACCAGAGGGCTGCCGTTGGTAGACCATTGTGGAAGTGATTCAATATGGCTTCTACATTCGGACCCCCTTCTACGATTACAAAAGTTAAGGGGATGATGATGATGATGATGATCACGTGTACTGCGTACATTTCTGTGTATGTGTCTGCTTTTATATGTCTATATGCGAATTTGTATATGTGTGTATGCGTATGGTTGTATTTAGATGTATGTATGCATAAGTATGAGTGTAAACGTGAGTCTATTTGTAAATGGATGTGTGTATAGATGTGTAATCTTTATCGGGCCTTCATCGGGTGTATGGTAATCCGGGTAACCTAGAGGGTTTTCCGAGATTAATCCATTATTTAATCTACGGGAGTGGACTGTTCTCATATGTTAGGAGCCCGTTAGTAGGCCTAGCATAGAAATAAATACGATGTGGGGGCCGCTAATAAAGAAAGAAAGATAAATGACTGCAAGTCTTCAACAGCAGCTCCAGCTGTAACAAAACGAGAAAAATTTCGGTGATTGGAATCAAGCATGACAAGTAGCAACCATCTCTTCGGCAGGCAGTTTAGGTTTAAGGCTCCAACTTCTCCACAGAGCATTGGCGGCTCATGAATTTTGTGACATAATAATTGTGAGTTCAATTCCGAGGGAGTGTAGATTTGGACTCAGTGGGAACTGAGAATAAGAACTAGACGAGATATCTCTAGACAAGGGCATATCTGGGCAGTAGAACGAGAATGTTCGTATATATATATATATATATATATATATATATATATATTGATAATATGAGTGGTCAATATATATATATATATATATACATATATATATATATACATAAATTTCCAAGAGGATAGAATCCAGGTAGAACACAATGTCCAGGAGAGAGTAAGAATATAATATAAAAGGCTCAAACAATAATAACACATTCTCATTGAATGTACTGACCTAGCCCATATAAGAGAAACGCTTTATAGTGCAAGTAACATGAAGGAACTGCTCCAAAAAACTGACATGGATAACATAATATCGTTCCTGAAAGCAGTCAATTTGTACCAAAAAATCTAAAAACATAAAAAGTTGGGAGTTTTCTGCAAACTTTTGCTGCAAGGAATGTTTTCAACAAAATCTGATCCTTTCTGCATACCATTTCTCAAAAAAGGAAGAAACTTCCTACGATACAATTCTCTACAAAAAATTTTTTTTGACAGAACCAGATTTTTTCTACAAACCATTTCATTTCTAAAAACCTTTTTCAGCATGGCAAACCTCTCCGTTTGTGGAAATGGAAGGGTCTATTATATTGGAAAATAATATTCCAATAATAACCTGATTTGACATTAAATGACTGAGCAGGTCGATATGTCGTAAAACACAAACAAACAAACAAACAAACAAAATCAAACAATAATATTCCATGGTTATAATTTATT